CAGCTAAGGCAACCGAGGCCCAGAGAGGTTAACCAGTGAGGTCAAAGTCCCACAGCCAGTCAGTGAGTCAGTCAAGAGGGTGCCTGGAATGAATGAATGCCTTTCTTCTGACTCAGCTGCTATAGAGGGTTAGTTCCCAAAAGGTTTGTTATTTACAGTGTTCCCTGAAGTATGTTTTTTTTTAGGAACTTTAGTTCTAGAGCGATAATAGCTGATAGCTGTCTGGATAGGAGGGAGGAAGAATCCTCCCTCAAAAACAAACATTGAAAATTATTGAATTAAACAAAGCTAATAGAACTTCTGTTGCAGGACTTCTCGGGGCCTTTAATATTTATTGTTTCTTGTGTGACTGCAAAGAAACCCAGAGTCAACAATGTTTTCCAAACATTTTAAATTCTTTTGTTTTTAAAGTATCTTTTTGCATAAAGTGTTCCATAAAATACAATTTGGGAAATGTAAAGGCTAATATATACAATGTAAATTACTTATGACCTTTAGATTTTAGTCCATTTTGTTCTTTGTTTGTGTGTCAGTATATACACAAAGCTGGACATATGAACCAATGAGAATTAATTCAAAGATCTGCCATAAAAGTCAAATTTACAGTCTATAAAACATAACAAGGACTTTTCAGGCTGGTTCTGTGTTGGCTACCTAGCATTTGTTCTAATTTCTACAAAACGGGGGAAGTTCCAATGCATTTAAAAAGTTGAAGAAAAAGTAGGTATACAGTAAGTTATAAATCAGTAGAATTCTTGCCTTTAGTTCAGCTTCTCCGGAATCATAGTCAATAGATTAATGATACAGTCAAGAAAGTAAAACAGAAAATGTCAGTAACAAAATCAAGCTAGCCTAGCCTGCGTGGCACAGTGGACGGAACATCGTCCCATGGACTGAGAGGTCCCTGTCCCGGTTCGATTCTCCAGCAGGGCACACGCCCAGGTTTTGGGCTCAATCCCCAGGAGGGGGCGTGCAGGAGGCAGCCGATCCATGTTTCTCTCTCAGATCGATGTTTCTATCTCTGTCTCCCTTCCTCTCTCTAAAAAAATCAATAAAAACATATTTTAAAAAAAATCAGGCTTATGTAGGAAGAAATGTACAGAAGTGAGAAAGAGTGAAGGTCATAGGGCTGAGTGCAAACCCAGGTATCCTTATCCGTGAGGCCTCTGAGTTACAACCTGGGTAAGAGGCCCAGAGACCTTTCAGTCTGCGTGGACCATGGTACCTCGGGAGGGGAACACAGCTGGTTCGGCTCCCTGTGCAAGTCCCTGGCTCTCACCCCGAGGGGCGCTGGCTGCGGTGGAACAAGTGCCCTGGAATAAGTGGGCCTGAGCTTTCTCTGAGCACAAACCTTGACCTCGTCTGGGTATGCGGCAGCTCTGCAGGCAGCTGGCTGGGCCACCAGAGACAGTCCGCGAGGCTGAGCGCTCTGCAGGAGGGCGGGATCAGTGATCGCCTCAGATGGCACCCTGTCCTGCTGAGGAAGCAGCTTCTTCAGTGTAGGTGCAAATCAGCCAATTTCCCTCTGCCAGGAGGCAACATTGTCCCATTTGTAAAACGACAGCTCACATGATTAAAAAGTAAAGGTGTTTGCCCTGGCTGGTTTGGCTCAGTGGTTAGAGCGTCGGCCTGCGGTCCAGAGAGACCCGGGTTCGGTTCGCACGTACCTCAGTTGCAGTTTGTCCCCGGCCCTGGTTGGTGGTGCGGGAGGCAGCCACTCGATGTGTCCCTTTCACGTTGATGTTTTTCTCTCTCTTCCTCTCTCTCCCTCCCACTCTATCTGAACAAAAAATGGAAAAATGTCCTCCGGTGAGAATTAAAAAAAAAAAATAAATAAAAAAGTAAAGGTGTTTTATAGGCATTCCTTTCCCATAATATAACAGGCATTGCCCTCATTATAACTGATCCTTTCATAGCACAGAACTCACAGCAGGTGTGTGAAGAGCTTCACAGGATCGGGGCAGGTCATTCCGCCCATTTCACAGATGCAGAGCGAGATGCGGACAGAGTTCCAGTGAAAACGAGGACAAGAGTTGGAGGTGGGAATTTGCAGAGAGCATGAAGTGGCTTCCTCATCACCAACATGTTTTGGGTTTGTAGGGTAAGGGAACAAAGAGAGCCGACGGAATCCATACCGGGAAAGCAGAGAAACTCGGGCCTCGGCGAGTAGGGTGACACGAGGGTGCCTCATTTCTTGCCGCGAGCACAGCCCTCCCATTTAAAAAGAGTTAACCCACGTTCTCCTTTAAAACTGATTAATATATGAAATAAAAAAAGATAAACACAAAGAAAATAATAAACATTTACAACTCCAGCCTCCATCATGAGAATGCTGGTGTGTATCCTTTCAGACTTTTGAGTATGCTCATATATACCAGGTTGATACAGTTTATTTTTTCAGAAAAAATGGGATCATACCTATAGATTGTTTTGTGACCTTGTAGCTTTACTCAGTGGTATGCTATGAACATTTTTCTATTTCTATGACAGTAACCCTGGCTATCCATTCTGCAAGGGCAGGGAGACACCAGGCGAGGACACAGACTGGGGTCAGGATGGTTAGAAGTCAGGTCTCAGGTTGGCTATTTTCTACCATGTGAATTTCGGGAGTTCTATGGCTTCTCTAAACCTCAGGTTTCTTGCCTGTGTAATGGAGCTTACAGTCACACCTACTCCACAGGCTGCTGCTAGAATTAAATGAAGCAGAGCATGCAAAGTGCTTAACAAATACCTGACAAGCAGCTCTGAGCTCAAAGTAATTTAGCTATTATAATTATGTGGTTATTGACTATTCTTATCACATGGTTATATCACATTTAAAAAATCCAGTCCTTCTTTTGTGGGGCATTTAGGTTATTTCTAATTATTCTTTAACATTTTATTTTGAAATTATTATAGACTTACAGAGGATGGAAAAATAGTACACAGAAGTCCTGAGTACCCTACATCCAGTTTCCCACAGTGGTAGTATCTTACATAATTATGGTACAATATCAAAACCAGGAAACTGCCCTGGCCAGTTTGGCTCAGCGTTTGGAGCGTCGGCCTGCGGTACAGAGAGACCTGGGTTTGGTTCCCGCTGGGGGCACGTACCTCGGTTGCAGTTTGTCCCCGGCCCTGGTCGGTCGTGCGGGTGGCAGCCACTTGATGTGTTCCTTTCACGTCGATGTTTCTCTCTCTCTCTCTCTGTTCCTCTCTCTCCCTCCCACTCTACCTGAACAAAAAATGGAAAAATGTCCTCGGGTGAGGATAAAAAAACAAACAACCAGGAAACTGACATTGGGATAATATAGAGCTCTTATTCAGATTTCACCAGTTTTACATGCTCTTATTTATATATGTGTGTGTAAATATAAATCAATGTAATTTTACCATATGTGTAGATTTGTGGAACCACCATCAGAATCTGGATACAGAACTTTCCATCACCACCAAGATCCCTTTTACTACCCCTTTATAATCACACCCATACTTTCCCCCTTTCTCTCCTCCTTGTCTGTAACCTCTGGTAATCACTAATCTCTTCTCCATCTCTATGACTTTATCACTTCAAAAGCGTTAATAAATGGAATCATACACTATGTAACCTTTTGAGATTGGCTATTCTCAGTCACCATAAGGCCCTTGAGATCCCTTCAATTTGTTGTGTATAACCACAGTCTGTTCCCTTTCATTGCTGAGTAGTATTCTGTTGTATGGATGTACCACAGTTTATTTAACCATTTATCTGTTGAAAAACATTTGGGTTTTTCCAGTTTGGGGCTAATACAAATAAACTTGCTTTGAACATTTGTGTAAAGGTTTTTGTGTGGACTTAAGTTTATATTTCCTCTGAGATAAATGCCCAGAAATATGAATATTGAGTTGCATGTTAAATGTGTTTATTTTTATATAAAATTGCCTACTTCTGTTCAGAGTGGCTATACCATCTTGCATTGCTACCAGTAATGTATGAGAGATCCAGTTTCTCTATATCCTCACTAGCATTTGGTAGTATCAGTATTTTTTCTAATGTTAACTATTCTTATAGGTGTGTGATAATATCATGGTCTTAATTTGCATTTCCTTAATGGCTAATGATGTTGAACATCTATTTCTAATTTTTGATGTGATAAATAATGCTACAATGAATATCTTTTTTGAATACATTTTAAGTTAATTACTACAAATGAATTCTTTAAAGTGGAGTTGCTAAATAAGCAGATTAAAAAAAAATTGGGACATAATGTCACATTGCCCTTCAGAATAGTACCAATTTACATCCCCATCAGCAATGTATAAATTGCCCAGCTTTTAAATTATACCTAGCCCTGGCCCATGTTTCTCAGTGGTTAGAGCAGTGGCCCATGTTCTGAAGGGTTTCAGGTTTGATTCTGCTCAAGGGCATTTACCTTGGTTGCAGGTTCGATCCCCAATCCAGGTTAGGGAGTATGCAGGAGGCAACCAATCAATGCATGTCTTTCACATCAATGTTTCTCTTTTTCTCCCCAATCCCTCCCTCCTTCCACTCTATCTGAAAATCAATGAAAAAAAAATCCTCAGGTGAGGATTAAAAAAAAAATTATACCTCATGCTTTCATTATCTCTCTCAAGAAATTAAAAAGGCCTGGCCAGTATGGCTCAATGGTTGAGGGTCGACCCATGAACCAAGAGGTCGCTGGTTCGATTTCCGGTAAGGGCACATGCCCAGGTTGTGGGCCCGATCCCCCAGTTGGGGGCATGCGGGAGGTGGCCAGTTCATGTTCTCTCTCATTGTTTCCATTTTTCTCTCTCTCCCCCTTCCTCTCTCTCTAAAAATCAGTAAAGAAAAAAAAAATTTTTTTTTTAAATAAGTTAAAAAGAAACTTCTTGCCAATACACTTCCTACTCCCGGGGAAATAAAATAAAATAAAAACTGGATTGCCTAAAATCTCAATAGATCAGGAAATTACCAACTGAGGGCCCCTCTCCAAGGACAGCCCCCATTCAGATATGCATTTAACATTTCATTAAGCACATACCTTTATGGGCAATGTGACACAGATCTTCTTGCATTTTAGAAAATTCAGATGAGGTTTCAGAGCCATCAGAATAATTTTTCTCTTCTCCAAAATCTAGTGTTGACAAATTAGGATTTGAAGAATGCAGTCTTTGTGGGCCCTCTAAAGGTTTAGGGACCTGAAGTGATACCAAAAGGAGACATTTCGTTTCAGATGCAAATTGCTTAGAATATTTTCTTGTTTCTAAGATGGGAAAGTAGTAAGAAAAGGTCAATATATAGGAAAGTCTTTCTACTGAATGATTACTTATAAGAAAAATAAATGAAAATTCCGGAAAGCACTTTCTACTATAAGTTGTACTCGCTTACTGCAAAAATAAAAAGGGGTGAGAAATCACATACAGCAGTCTGTCCTGCGGGGTTAAGTTAAAAGACCCCAGTGGATCCTGAAACTGTGGGTAGTTCTGAACCATATAGACATGCAATTTAAAACATATAAATTGTTTATTTTTGAAATTTACCTTTTAATATTTTTGAAATGCAGTTGACCATGGGAAACCAATACCCCAGAAAGCAAAACTGCAGTTAAGGGAAGACTGTTAAATTATTTGGAAATGATAGAAGCGTTAAAGCTATAGGTTGAAAATGACAGTTAAGCTGCGGGGTACTTATTTATACTCATTTCCTTCCTCCTAGCAGTAATCATCCAGTGTCTAGGTTAATAGTGGACAGGTTTAAAAATGTTTTCTTGCCCTGGCCAGTTTGGCTCAGCGGTTAGAGTGTCAGCTCTCAGACCAAAGAGTCACAGGTTCAATTCTGGTCAAAGGCATGTACCTTGGTTGAGGTTCATCCCTGGCCCTGGTTGGGTCATGCGGGAGGCAAGGAATCAATGTGTCTCTCTCATATCAATGCTTCTCTCTCTCTCTCTCCTCTCCCTCTCTCTCTCTCTACTCTTCTCTCCCACTCTATCTGAAAATAAATGGAAAATATCCTCGGGTGAGGATTTAAAAAAAATGTTTTCTTTATTTGCTCTTGGTGCTTCTAGAAAATGAACTAACTTCTCACATATTTGTACACAAATCACTCTTCACTTTGAAAGTATTTAAGTTCAACCCATCAAGTGCTTTGAACCAAAGAGTCTACAAGGATACAGCAGATGATTTATCTATAACTTTCTGATTTATTTGGACTCTAATAATGTTGCAATTTAACATGCAATGGCCAAGCTACAAACCTTGGCCTCTGGCTTAGCTGTGCATTGGGAAAATCAGGGCTAGTGTGACACAGTAAACCTCTGATGGGAAACTGGAAACAAGAAGCAAAAGAGCATCTGCACAATGTCCTGTTCCCGAAAACTCCAGCCAGGGGGCTCAGAGGGATGAGGAATCCACTGAGCAGCAGCGGGAAAGGTGGGTCAGAGCGCCTACCCAAGCAGGGAGTGGGCAGGCAGGCTAAGCAATAAAGAATGAGAAACCAAAATCCTAGAAATGGCTGTAGTCCCTCCAACCTCATACCATTTTCCTCTACCCAATATCCATTACATGCCTAGTCTAGTGTCCAGAAAGTCTAAGTGATTGAATTCATCTCTCTGCACAAGGTTTTTGAGAGAATAATCAGAATATTCCCTTGTCTATTCTCTGGCTTGAGTTCAAGCAGCCCTCAGCATGTGGTGTGCAGAGAAGGCCAACGAAGAAACCAGCCCATTGGGGAAGCAATGGTTACCTGTAGTGTTCCTTTAGCATCTTTGCCAATAGCTCTGGACCGCCACCTCCTGTGTGATCTTTTCTCCTTTTTGGGACTTTCAAAAGCTCCACCCTTTGTTTCAAAACAGGAAAGAGAGCACAGAAAGTAAGGTCCACCAAACCAAGAGGGAAAATGTACAGCAGCAAGCAACCAGCTCCATCCCCTTGAAGTTGGCCAGAGCCCCTGACCAGACAGCCCGCTGCTGGTGCGAGGCGGAGAGGAGAAAAGAAAGCACAAGTGCATCCGCATGCAAACAGAAGAGGGATCTGGCCCACCTGGATGGCGTTGATAGCTGGCGCCGAGTATGTGCGATGCAGGACGTCCATGCTCTGGAGGAGCTGGCTCATTTCCACCAGGTAGGAGTGGCAGTGTGCCAGGTCTGCGGGAGAAAAGCAGAAGACACACTCAGGAGCGCTTCTCTTGGCATTCGGGCATCACTGTGCCGCACCAGCTACTTTCCTCGTTTATCCATATTTAATGTACACCTGTACAGATAGGAACTTCAACTTCCTTTTCTACAGGAGAGGCAGTAAACTGTGGTGGTGAAAAGCATGAATCTGGAGAACCAGGCTGTCTCCATTTGAATGCACATAATGAACTGCGAATCTCGGGCAAATTATATAACTGCTTTGTGCCTGTTTCCTCATCTGGAAAGTGGGGATAATTATATACCCAGTTCACAGGATAGTTGTGAGTTAAATGAGCTAATATATACAGTGTGCTTTTAGTGCTCTGGCACATTGTAAACACAAAATCAGTATCATCATCATTATCACTTCCAGTGTTGCAATAACAGGGTGTCCGTGTCCACTTATAAGGACTGGGTACAAGTTTGACTAGTGAAAGTTGTATTGGTCTCTAAAGATAACTTGCAGGAGGAACCTGATGATCCTCTGCAGACTGACAAGATTCCTGGACCAGTGCCGGGGTCACTAACTCAAACACAGTCTTCGATGTTGTTCACTGGATGACAATAGCCGTTCCTGCCGAGGAATCAAAGCTCAAATGCATTAAGATAGTGGCTGTCAAACTTCGGTGTCATCAGAATCACTTTGAGAACCTGTACAACCACAGATTGTTGGTGTCTACCCCAGGCTTCTGACTCAGACTATCTGGGTTGGGCCTGAGAATTTGCATTTCTAGTAAGTTCGCAGGCTAGACCAATGCTGCTGGTCCAGCTCCTCAAACAATACTTCAAGGACTACTGTCCCAAATGTTACTCAGTGAAGCTCTTAAGTGATATTTACTGGGAGGGCAAAACCTATATGGCCCTATACAGTAATATCATGCAACAGAAGAAAATGCAATTTTTAAGGCTACGACTTGGCATCTTTTTTAAGAGAGGTTCTCAGTCATGGCTACACCTTAAAATTAACTGGGTAAAATTTTTAAATGACATATTTCCAAGTCCCAACCCCAGACACTTAAATCAGAACACCCACAATCCCACTGGCGACTATTTTGTTATTTAGTTCCCTGGGCGATCCTTAGCAAATTAGGGTTGAGAACAGTGAGCTGCCTATGGTGAGAGTCCCCAATCCTGGCTCCTTATTACACTCCCTTAGGGAACTTAAAAAAATCAGTGATGCCAGGGCCCCACTCCAGACCAATTTAAAGAGATACTTCTGGGGAGGGGCCAGGGCATAGGCATTCTTTGCTTTTTTGAAAGCCTCTTGGTGATTTTAATGTGCAACCAGGGGAGAGAACACCTATTTTGTGGGATCTCCATTTAGCTCACCCACTCGCCTCTCGAACAGTGATGCTCAATCTCAGATGTGTGTCAGAATCCTTCCTGGCACTAAATAAAATAAGAGAGCTGTGCAGACCCCACCCCTGGAGATGGTGGTTGAACAAGCTCACATGGAAACCAAGCATTAGTACTTAAACAGAAAAGAAAAGCTGTCTGCAGGCACCCCCAGGTGGAACATAACACCCTGCAAGGAAAATGTCCTTTGTTAATCATGAGTGCAAAGTTAATAAGCAAAATCTGAGAGGGACCGTGGACAGCGACAGGAAGGCTGCAGTGCACCCGAGGTATCAGTGCCAAACCAGTGTGACAGAGCGGGACAGAAAGAAACAGAGGTTCAAGTGACTACCTTTCGAGCATTGCTCCATGTCCTCCGAAGACTGTAACCATAATGGGACTCTCGTGTCACCACAAGAAAAGGATAAATTGCTTCCAGTTTGAAAGGAATTCTGCTTTGGTATACTGCCACGCTGTGCACAGATGACAAAGACACATTATCAATGCAAACGGAGCCCAGTGGGAACACTCGAGGGTAAAAGGATAACAACGTGGGCAAGTGCTAATGGAAACCATCTGCCTGGAAGGGGAGAGAAGCTTCTAGCAGAGAACTCCACTGCAGAACTTGGCTCTGGCTGTCACCCCAGCTGGGCCATGTCCTGCTATGAGGCTTTGAACTGCACTCAATTTCTTCTTCTGTCAAATAGTAATCACATCAAAATAATGATGTAAATGTTGGGAGTGTTGGTAATCTTGTCTAGCTATAAATGTACCGACTGTATTTCACACCAGATAAGAAAAACAAAGTCAAATTGGTCACGAGACACTGGAGCGTTCGGGGCTATTAAATGCCTCTTTACACGCTATTCTCCAATTTTCTGTCCCAGAGATGACAGGAGCTCTCCAGAGGCCCTGGTCCTGACCGACGGGGCAAACAGACTCCTTCAACACCAGCTCCAGCTCACCTGGCCCTTCCGTCCTCAGACCCAGCCCCCTCCCCAAGGTGGGACTCCCCCACCCAAAGCCACCCCTTTTCTTAGCTTCATGATTGGCAAAGTTTTACCTTCCGACTTGAAATGGAGTCCAAGACCCCGGAGGGAGAGTCTGTGACGGTGGATCCCGGGAAGAAGTGATTCACTTCGTGCGGAAACATGGCGATCTCATTCTGACGGTACATTCGATGGTGGCGGAGTTTGGACACCCACTCATCGAAGAGGTCTTCTGCCTTGGCCTAGATTGCATTGAATTTAAAGAAGGGGACACGAGCGGCACTCACTGAAAGAACAGTTCTCACATCGAGGCCGCTCCCTGCCCGTCTCCTGTCACACCACATGTGGACATGTACACTCCAGCTTTCTGACTTAGTCTACATGCATGTGGTCAATGGGGACAAGTCTGAAGAGGAAACGGAAAGTGGAAAGGGTCTTCATAAGCATACGTTTGGGCTTTCTATGAAAGGTCCAATTGCGATGCAATGTTTAAGAAAGCAAAACAGTATCCATTACATTAAACAACCAATAAAACTGAAATGTATCTTTATTTGTCTGAAAGCATGTCCATGTCCTTGTGTCCCAGCTTCTTCTAGCCCTGCTGGAAATATTAGCACCCTGCTTCTTTTTTTTTTTTCAATCCTCACCTGAGAACATTTTTGCATTTATCATCAGATAGAGCGGGGCGGGGGGGGGGGGGAGAGAAACATCCATGTGAAAGAGACACATCAACTGGTTGCCCCCCCCCCCCCCACACACACACGACCCAACCGGGGCCGCGGACAAACGGCAACCAAGGTACGTGCCCTTAGTGGGAACCAAACCCAGGTCTCTCTGGTCAGCAGGCTGATGATGCTCTAACTGCTGAGCTAAACTGTTTTATAATTCGGACTTTTCAGATTAATTTTCTCTGAACCGGAATGAATTAGGTACCTCTTCCTAAAATATTTAACCTGTTAACCTCTCTGTCAGAGAACACAATGCTGAGGAATATATGTTAATGCATGTGAAAGTTATTAAAAGAACATTTCTCCTGCTCTCGGAAATAGAAAAAATTTGATAAAGTGTAATTGGTGATTTCCAGGATTTTTCAAACTCGCACAAACATGTAGCTATTCTCTCTATGATTTAGTATCTATCAATGTCTAATTTCCATGAAGAATAACATTTGTTAATAGTAATTTATTGCAAAATACTTCAAATGTTCATAAAAGTACTACAAAGAACATAAGAAACACCTATGACTAAGAAATGACATTTTCTTAGTCAGTATTTGTGTGTGTGAGGGCATATTAATGTTTTCAAAATGAAAAACAACAGATACTTATATATGAGAACACAGACTCACGAAGTGGCAATTTACAAAACTCCCAAAGGATGCGTGATGTGTGGTAGGTTAACTTCTAAGAAGAAAACTTCAGGTTGATCCCGTTAAAATCTTTACAAAAGCCACTGCTGAGTGTAAGGACGTGGAAGTAAATGTGCCCAGCATCATTCACTTAGGAAACGTTAGGTTGGCTCTTCTGTTTGTTTTGCTGATCAGAAGCAGGTACAAAACTCAAAGCCTCTCCGGGTGCTCTCCAATGTGTCAGGTACAAGAAGAAGCAACCCAAACAGACTCATCTGTCTCCCCTAAATTACGTTCTTGAAACATCTTCATTTCCCAGCTGTGTTAACAAGGACCTCATGCCGTCGTTTGCACTGATCAGAGGCCTAGAACTCGGTGCCCAAAGTGTTCAGCTTGACTCCTTTTGTACCGGTTACACAGGGAAGAAGAATGGAAGCACCTGGCTACACAATGGGCCAGGGTTTCGTTCCATCCCCTCAAGAAGGCCCAGGGCTGTGGGTGGACAGCCAAGTAACTGCTACCAGATCCCTCACCTATACAACAGAGAGAATGGGGCTGGATGACCCACACATTAAATAAACTGCCTGCCTCCGAGGCTATTAACTGGGACCTTCAGACAATGACATGTACCTGCACTGCCAGTCGGAGCTGATGTTCAAAAGAATGAGCATGAAACAAAAACAACTCAAAGAGAATCGACACAGAGAAGTAGTTAACTATGTTGATCATATTAGTATTTAAAGTATCTCAAGGCATTTTAGTTCTTTAAAAATTAGGAATTAGCCCTGGCCGGTTTGGCTCAGCGGTTAGAGCGTCAGCCTGCGGTCCTGAGAGACCCGAGTTCAGTTCCCGCTAAGGGCACATACTTCGGTTGCAGTTTGTCCCCGGCCCTGGTGGGTTGTGCAGGTGGCAGCCACTCGATGTGTCCCTTTCACGTCGATGTTTCTCTCTCTCTCTGTTCCTCTCTCTCCCTCCCACTCTACCTGAAAAATGTCTCTCGGGTGAGGATAAAATAAATAAATAAATAAATAAATAAATAAATAAATAAATAAATAAAAATTAGGAATTAATAATCACTTTTATTCGGATAACTAGACTAATGGTGAACAAGAACCAATGATTCCTGACCACGTCAAAACACAGAACTAGCCCTGGCCGGTTTGGCTCATCGGTTAGAGCGTTGGCCTGCGGTCTGGAGAGACCCAGGTTCGGTTCCCGCTAAGGGCACGTACCTCGGTTGCAGTTTGTCCCCGGCCCTGGTTGGGGTTGTGTGGGTGGTGACCACTCTATATGTCCCTTTCACGTCGATGTTTGTCTCTCTCCTCCTCTCTCTCCCTCCCACTCTATCTGAACAAAACATCGAAAAAAAATGTCCTCGGGTGAGGATAAAAAAAACACACAGAATTAAGAGTCATTGAAAATACATGGAGAAATAACCTAAATGATGGTAAAGAAGACTGACCATTTAAATGGGGTGGAAAATATATTTTCTTAATTTTTTTTTTTTTAAGATTATAGGTCTCTCCGTCCTTTACTTCACACTAGTTGTTCTCAGTCAGGGGTGATTTACCCCTTCCCCCTGGGGGACATTTGGCGATGTCTGGAGATATTTTTTGGTTGTCTTAACTGGAGGGAGGCTGTTACTGACATCTAGCGGCCAGGGATGCCACTCATCATCCTACAATGCCCAGGACAGCCCCCCACAGCAAAGACTCTCCAGCTCACTGTGTCACTAGCCTTGAATAAGAAACCCTGCGTAACACAACTAACTACACCCACAGGTACGGGGCTTAGGCTAGGGAGCGGTGGGCTTTACTGTCTTGTGTAGTCAATCACGTGTGTGTGTCACGCGTGTATTTGCCCAAGCGCCACATACATACATACTACGGGGAGGACAGGAACATCTTCAGACACGGAGCTCATATTCTCATGCTTTTATTCTCCCAACCCTCGGCTCCCACTGCCGATAGTACAAATAATGTGCCCAAGTGAGAGAAGAGTTTTAACAGTTTCTCAATTAATTGCTAACATTCGGGTACCACCTAATAATTATATATAATAACTAAATGTATTGAGAATACTGTGGGCCAGGCATTATGCCAGGTTTTCTACATGCGGCCCTACAAGACGAGCACTATAATAATTCCCATTTTGGGGGGCGGGAAAACTGAGATTTTCAGAGGTTAAATAATTTGCCAAAGACTAAGAGCTAGTAAGGTCAGGAGTTAAACAGGATCTGAAACTCCAGAGCTCTTGTTTCATGCTTTCAACCATCTCTACCACCTGCAGGAGAGAGGGGACGGAGGGGAGCTAAGCAGCTTTGAGGGGTACTATCTGAAGGCCCACACTTTAGGGAGAAAATTCCTGACATTCAGTGCAATATGAGAATTTTAGTGGAATCCATATAAAATTAGCCAAAGCTGTAAGACACACTATTGTATGTCAAGGAACATATTCTAACCTATGGTAAACGGTTCTTCACTAAAGATGATACTGTTCAAGAGGGGGGATTGTATTTGGAAGCATGAGGATGTTTTTGTTATGGATCATTGCCACAATCACGGGGGAGGGGGTGTTTGGGGGATGAGAGGACATGATGCTAACCCTTCAGCAGTGTGACAGTCCCTCACAAAAGGGTCCATTAGAAACACGTTCATAATGAAGACCTACATGCTGTCCGGACATGTGGAAATATTAAAAAGGCATCACCAATAGTACTGTACTATAACACAAGGCAACTCAGCCACGGGAGAGAGCAGCTGGGAGGCGGTCTCACCTTCAGATGATAGATGTGCTCCTCGGTGTCCAGATCTATGCATTTTGATGACTTCTTTACAGACATCACCGAGAGGCCAACATCAATGCAGCCATGCAGCTTCTCTCTCTCTATCTGCGGAGGCACGAGGAGGTCACTTGAGAATCATGTGTTGATGTGGTAGTAACATCCTTGACACTCCTTCCCTCTATGCTTACCTGTCATCACTAATAGTGACCCTGCGACTCACCAAGCACTCAGTGTGAACCAGCACTGAGTTCTTAGTGCTGTACATGTGTTATCTTATTTTATCTGTGAGGGGTTATGTAATGAGCAAGAAGGTGAGCCCTGTCAACTGACTCCACGGCAATGAATTTACCTCTAACTGCGCTGACTCCTGCAGAATTTGTCTCCAGTGTCTAAGCTCATGGGAAAGTGATATTAATAAAAGAAGTAGGGGCAGGAAGCTAAGAAGGTTATTGTGGGCGCCACGCTACGCCTCGAGTGCTGCATGCTACGCCTCGTGTGCTGCACGCCACGCCTCAAGTGCTGCACGCCACGCCTCGAGTGCTGCATGCCACTGTACGAGATGAGCACCGTGAGAGCGTGAGGAGGGAAAGGAGGCTGGGTGAGAGAAGGGCCCCCTACGAGGGCAGAACAACAGTCATTCTGAGCCCTCGTGGGCCGTCTGCTTAGAGTTAACACCAAGGAGAACTTCATGTCACCCTCCCCAAGGGTTCTCCATCAAACCCCAGTCCCCGTACCAGGGACAGGCACCTGCCCTATGTCCTGCTCCTGTTATCTCACCACAAAAATGTCTTCTTCCACCCAGAGAACCCCTCAGTGTGACCCTAAGGCCGGAATAGACTCCTGGACACACAGTAGGGTGTTCACAGTAGGGTGTTCACCTCCACTCAGAACATGCACTGAGCCCACCTAGAACCCAGAGCTGGGTGCTGGGAGCAGCACCTCTGTTCCACGTGAAGGAACTACCCCCTCCATGGTCCCGGTTCAGAGGAATGGAATCCCCCAGGGGCACCATCTCGCCCATGAGCTGACAACTAGCCCCTCAGAGATCTTCAACAGCACGCTGATCACTTACATCAGTTTGGCTCTTGGCATATTTCAAGATTCCTTTGTCCAGATAGAAGAATCTCTGTGGGGGAGAAAGTGTAATTCAGGAACACATTCCATTTAAACGCCCGTTCTTCCCTTGGTCCCAATTCTCAATTTCAAATTAAGTGTCTACGAATGGGGTGCTGAGTGCGGCACTCGGGGTGCAAACAAAGGTGAGGCCACAGCCGGGTCTTACCTTGTGCCAGCCTTTCAAGGGCCATTTCCGCTTTTTCAGCAAAAAGCCTTTCTGAACCGGTGGCTCCTGGACGTAGTTCATCTCTCCCCTCAGTCCTTCCACCACTTCCCAGCTGTCCTGTCCCAACAAGAGAGACCATACTGAGTAGCTGTCTTTAAAATAATGATGACTTGGTGTTATCAGCAAATCCATCTAAGATGGTGAGCCTGGCTGTGTTGGTCGGCGCAAAGAAATTCAAATTTAATTTTCATACCACTCGTGGATTTTTACAGATTTAATGCTATAATCTAATGGCATCAAGCTTGATTTTTTGCACACCAAAAGCTCTCTCTTAGAAGGGAATGTCTCTCTCTCTTTTGGTGCTTGAACCTTGGCAACCACAGCTAAGGCGAAAAGAGTCCACTGTTAAGTTCTATTTTTGCTCCCTTTGCCATGATCACTCAGTTACTTTTCACTCACCAGCAGACCTCAGTCTGAAGTTTAACCAAAAGCTACAGACGTGAGGATGGAGATAGGGGTGGGATTCGATGGGAAAATGGGAAGACTGGCTTAAGGATTGGCCAAAAAGTATGAGACAAGTTGGTCTAAATAATGATTAGTTGCAAGTTAATATCTTCAAATTCCAGGTATTTAAATACTGAAAATCCTGAAGCATCAAAAGGTGCTTTCGCAACTAGTATTTTCATCTTTTCTTCCAGAAATGTTGTCTCCTTCCCCCTTTCTTTTGTTTTAAAAACTTTTTTGTTGGCCAAGTACTGCTCTTCTGTGCCATTTGCAATTTTGAAGATGTACAAACAGTTGTTACCATTAATCTCCCGTTGCTGGCTATTTAGGTTATTTCAACTAATTGACTAAAAAAGAATTTTTAAAAGGAATGCAAAAGGAAAACACTAAAAGTTCTGAAGATTTGTTTTTAAATGCTTGGGAATGCATAAACCATTGCAAAATTACCCCAAAATAGACAAAAACTGGCAATACATCAGTGGCTAAGACGAATTTTTTGGTTATCAGTATTTTTACATTTTTATTGGGATGCACAAATCTTAAGAGACAAATCAATGGATTCATACACCTATATCCTCAGTAACTACTATCCTCAGAGAGAAAACATATTGAACACGGGGTAATTAAGTTTTGATAAACATGTACCCATTATTGATATAGTACTGGCATATAACATATGTGTAAGTTTAAGGCATACAAGGTGATAATTTAATACTCCTCATTCCCTCACATAATTACCACCTTTTCTGTTGGTAGTGATAACATTTAAGATCTACTTTTCTTAACCACTTTCAAGTATGTAATACAGTATTGTTAGTTATAGTCACTGTGCTCTACATTAGATCCTCAGAATTTTTCATCTTATAGCTGGAAGTTTGTATCAACTGACGAACATGTCTCCATCCCTCCCAATCTCCCACCCACCCAACAGCCACCATTCTATTCTCTCTTTCTATTACTTTGGCTTTTTTAGATTCTGCATATAAGGAGAACATACAGTATTTATATTTCTCTATATGATTTATCTCACTTAACATAATGTCCTCAACATCTACCCATGTTGTCACGAAAGGCAGGATTTCCTCCTTTTTATGGCTGAATAATATTCCTCTGTGTGTGTGTGTGTGTGTGTGTGTGTGTGTGTGTGTGTTGCACAGTCTTCACACATTCATCCATTAATGGACACTTAGGTTGTTTCCATGTCTTGGCTATTATGACTAATGCTGCAATGAACATGGGGGTACAGATACCTCTTCAAAAGACACACATGTCCTTTTGGCCAAGATTTCATGCTGACTAACTTGGTCTTAGTCAAATCTCCAGCCCATAGGCAGGCAGTACTGGCAGAAGCCAGAGGGGCTGGGAGATGGACAGTAAAGTCTAAACCAGCACCAGGAGCCAGAAGCAATTAGACTCAAGTCTCAGGAAACAGATGATCTCATGGAAAGGGCATGGGAAATGTAGGGAGTCCTGATGCTCTGGCTTGGTTTCCGTGTTGTCCTCGAGTTCGATACATGGGAAACATCTGGTACCAAGAACACTTTCTATAACAGTCCTGAGAGCTGCCTTACATCTGATTGCACTTTACTCGGAATGCAGTTAAAGGCACATTCAAGCCCTGGCTGGTTGCTGAATGGTTAGAGCGTGGGCCGTCGGATCAAAGGGTCGTGGGTTAAATTACTGGTCAAGGGCACGTACCTGGGTTGCAGGTTTGATCCCTGGCCCTAGTCAGGGTTGTGCAGGAGGCAACCAATTGATATGTCTCTCTCACATCGGCCTTTCTCTCTCTCTCTTTCCGCCCCTACCCCCACTTCCACTGGCTCTAAAAAAAGAAAAAAATACCCTGGGGTGAGGAGTAAAAAAAAAATTCAATAATGTTTCAAGGATTCATGTTAGGACTCAATTTCTCCTGAACTCTTGAGGCATGGAACATTCCTACCAATGAGCCAGCATGGAGGGAATCAGACGGAGTTTGTTGTAATAAGCCAAAAAGGTAAATAAGCCAAAAAGGGGTCACATTTATTTGTACAAAATGTCATCTTTTCCCCTTATGTTATATTCTTCCTGGGCTCAGGATGTGAAACTCCTACATTCCAGATTGAAAGCACCTAAGAAAGTGAAGGCTCTCCGGACTGAGGAAGAAAGCTCTGCAGCCAACTCCTTCTCTGGGCTTGACCTTCAAATCCTGCCTGTCCCAGCTTCCCCGTCTGCCACTGTCCTGGAGTCACGGGCTGAAACCTGAGAGCCAGCATCCAGCCAGTGTCCCTGGCGGGAGCTGACGGAGTGCAATGGAACCTTGGGAGCACTTCCGATGGTCACAGTGATGGGAGGGTGTCTCTGGCAACTACAGACTGGGAGCCAGAGATGTTAGACACCCTGCAATGCCTGCCATTTAAAACACAAAAGAATAGTGCCCCAGGAAATACGGTCAGTGAGGTCTGCACAAACACAACAATGTGAACAATAATGACCCAAAAGGATTGGAGCAAACTTCCCAGCTCCAGGAAAGCAGGAAGCTTGTCTGTCTTGTTCGCTATTGTCAGAAACAATAGCACATAGTAGATATGAATATGCTGAACAAATTAGTGAAGCGATTACCATAGCTAACATTTATTAAGCATCGGGTAGTGTGCTACTCACCATACATACAATACTGTGCTTCATCCTTACACAATCCTGTGATATTGGATTTATTAGTATCTTTTTTTTTTTTAATTTATCCCCACCCGAGGACATTTTTCCATTTTTTGTTCAGACAGAGTGGGAGGGAGAGAGAGGAAGAGAGAGAGAGAAACATCGACGTGAAAGGGACACATCGAGGGGCTGCCACCCGCACAACCAACCAGGGCCGGGGACAAACTGCAACCGAGGTACATGCCCTTAGTGGGAACCAAACCCGGGTCTCTCTGGACCGCAGGCCGACGCTCCAACCACTGAGCCAAACCGGCCAGGGCTTAATATCTTTATTTTTTGAATGTTGAAACTGAGAAAAAGAGAATTAGGTAACTTCCCCAGTGCTATGCAGCTGCCAAGTGGTAAAGCCACCTGATTGTGAAATCTACACTTTTCATCATTCTGCTCCATATTATAGCGCATTGTATAGTCTACTGTAATTTAAACATGTGGATTCTGATGATGAACCAGAAATGCCATAGGGCAGGGAAACAGGTGGGTAAATCCAGGAAGTGGCCAAGATCCTGAAGCAATCTTAAGGAGTTAAAGGTTGCCCTATGGTCAGACAAGCAAGGTCTGGGACCCCACTGAGACCTACCACAATGTTTCCTACAAGGTAGTCCCACCACAACAGGGCAAGAAATCAGCCTGTACATTTTAATGCTGCTAAGTCTTTGCTCATTGGCTTTTTTACATCTGGATGTCTGCCCCATCTACTTCTCAGCTGGAGAATTCTCACTAAGCCCCCAACCTCCTCCTCAGACAGAAATTCCTCCCTCCTCAGCACCTACACAAAACTCACTTGCATTGCCTGTCTCCCTAGCTGGAATGTGCCTTCCATGAGGACAGGCGCTGGATACTGTTTATTATAATCTCACTACTTGGGACATAGGGGCCCTAAATAAACACTTACTGAATGAGTCTTAGGAGCAAGGAGGGGAGTATAAAAAGGACCCCACAAGGCCCATGGGTGAAGGACTTTAACACTGTGTCTGGATTGAGATGAGTTGGTACTCAGGGCAGAAAAGAAGAGAAGACAGTTTCTCTTGGCTTAAAAGGGCTGGGTGTCAGGGAGTGGCTCCACCTGTTCACCACATACCCAGCGAGCCAGGAGTAAGACCTGCACCTTGAGCTGAGATACACAGTACAGGGTGGACTTGGGCCCCTGGGGAGAACAAGGACTTGCTGACCCAGCACAACGTGGCAGGGCTGATGTCTCGCCCTGGGGGTGTCAGGCTTAAAGCTCACCATGCATAGCAGGTGGAGAGAGAAATATGACAGGGTGTGGGGGAGGTGGCTCTTAAGGTTTTTGCTTGAGTTTAACTGAACACGGTCTGGCACTGTCATCTGGCATTAAATTCAGTGTGTTTTACTGAATGTCTACAAAGTGCCAAATATAGAAAGACTTTGTGGTTGGAAAGGCAGCTAGGCATTTATTCATGCTCACGGACTGGCTAAGTTCATTTCCATATTGCTGAGTGCACGAACTGAAACATTTCTCTCCAGCACAGCTCTTTCCACCGTGTTCATCTCCTGGGCACCTCTCAAGGCTGGATTCTGGGTCCTGCCTTGGTGGCCGTGATGTCAGAAACAGAAAAGGCTTTCAACTTGCTGTAGCTGAAGAGTGTGATGGCAGGAAGTTTTGTGGCTGCCTCTATCTGCCACGACTCGAAGAGTAGGTTGTTCAGATCCGTTATTTAGTCTGTTTTTCAGGGTTTTAAAAATCTCAAGGCGAGACCCAGCATTAAATCACATGGAGCATAATTTAACGTGTCATTAAAGATCAAAGGCATCCGTGACCTTCGAGAGCCTCAGGGTCATCAATATCATCTTTTACTATAGTACTGTGGACACGGGGAAATACTTGTCAATCCAATTCCAGTGAAAGTAATGACAGCTTTAACTTACATCAGACCGATTCTGTACTTATATTTCCATTA